TACATGAATCAGAATTTCACACACAGTTCATTTCTTGGGGTTATTATTTATATTCTCTCTGCCTTTGAATTACCAAGAATTTATCTGGCACTATGTCTCATTCTAATGTTCCATTTTCATTAATCTCACAAAAAAAAAAAAAAAAAGTTAGCCTATACAACAATTGCCCAGTACACAGAGTTGGGGTCATTCCATAGAAGTAAGCTGTAAAAACCACAACAATCTGTTTATAATAATTTGTTTAGGACCTTATGCCATTCAGAAAGGAGACCATCTGTCTTTCCCAATTGTTTTTATTTCCAAGACCCAGTTGCCTATTTATTCCCTCAATCTCTTCTTCTTCCTCAAAACATTAAAAGCATATTATTGGGTTTTTGTGCAGGACAAAGATGAGACAGTGTGACCACACAGAGGTCAGTAGGTTGTATAAAAGAGAAAGGATTTATGCAGCATATGCAAAAGTAAGATTTCCAAGCAACCAGACCCACTTCTGTCCTGTGGCCACTGCAGAAGTCTCACAGCTCAGAAAAGGTGTGTAGAGGGAGGGAGCAGTGGTACTACCCCACCTTGTCATAATCAGAGCATTATAAATACAGTGTAAATGTGATGATATTCATAGCTGGATGCACATTTCATAGTCTCTAGCTACCACAAGGTGGTTTACACATCCTGTGAAAGGAAACCCATTGTTGCTAAAGGGTGAACAGAAAATTCTAGCACTTAAAGTTGTCTCCTCAGAGGTTACATACCTGCCCTTCCTGCACCTCTGCTCATGCATGACAACTCATGCATTATCTTCTCTTGGCTACTACAGCAGGAGTAGAGAAGTAATAGGTTAGAAAAGCAGAGGACACATCCTCTGCAGAAAGCAGAGGATGCTCTCTCGCATTCTAGGAGAAATAGAATATGCTGGCTTTTCAGCCAGTATTTCAAGAACCTGGGACTTAATAATTGTCAACCCATTTAGAAAAGCCCAAGCATATTTATACAACTGATGAATTTTAGATACACTGACCCATGCCTGTTACGTATCTATCTCTCTGGATAAATCAGTGAGTTATACGTCATTTCAACTCTCAGTATAGAATCTGACTTTTTCAGTTGTAAAGACACACAGGCAGGGTCTGAAGTAACAGGTCAATGAAGAAGCTGGAGCTTATCTTGGCCTTACTTGCTAAGGTCCGTCCCATCACCAGTTATAGTTTCAGCACAGTTTACCAACCTTGGTACCCAAAATGTTCACCTAACCTTGCAGAATGTGATTTTTGGTCCTTTGAGAAACATTCAGCAGCTAACTTGTTTGTACAGAATAAAACATGTGCTGACACTAGAAGATTATATGGAATATATGTCTTTAAACTTGGTCTGGCACAGAGGCAGATACATGCTTTCCTTCCTTCAAAAGTTACACTTTTTCCAACTTTTCTTACCATGGTCTTTCCATGTAGGATATCTAAGAGTCTGGGCTGAACCCTAAATTCAAAATGTAGCAATAACTATTCTTTTCTTTTGTCTCCAGATATCCTTTATATTCACCAAAGCAAAAGTCTTCCCATAAAGCTTCTCAGAACTACCAGAGCATGCCAAAGCACGTTTTCTTACAAGTTCAATTAGATACGTCTGGGCCTAATATCAAGAATATCCTTGAAAATTTAGTTTCCCATGGCAGTGGGTGCAGCAACAACTTTAGGAAAGGTTTCCTTTAGGAACATGAACTTTTCATGTTCCTGAGAAGCACAGCCATATGGTGATGGAGAAACACAGAAAATAAATGGTTCAGGTTAAGATTCTGTCTGTATCAATTAATCATTTGAATGGCACCCCCCAAGACTTGGCACAGACCTAAGCAGAAACATCACACTTGCTAATAACATAATTTCAATGCATAAACCACCCCAGGTTTTTTAGTGGCTAAATGCTTCTCTTCACTCTGACTTGAGTCTCCAATGCAAGAAGTATTTGGACCATTTGCTATTCGTGTAGCAACCCACCAAATACAGCTAAACCCGTAAAAATGTAGATACAAAAAAAAAAAAAAGACCTAAAATTCTTAAAATTCTTTCCTTACATTTAGAAAAACTATCAGTATATTTTTCCAGAAAACAGCCTATAAACTCAAAAGCTCTTTTAATGTAATTATACCTAATCATAATACCAATTTTCATTTGCTGAAAGTAGAAACAATATAATAACAGAGACACCCATTCACAGTGGAAAATACACTGCAAGTGTTACTTTCTCTGCAGATTATACAATTAGAAGATTAAATGCTGTGTACACCACTGAATATGTAAATTGACATCTTCTACTCAACATCTGATTTTTAGAAACAGCACTAATTCCTACAAAAACCACTCACTGTTTCAAGAAGCTCCATACAATGGTCTGTGATTTTATTTACCTTGGAAAAAAAAGCCCGCTTTTATAATCAAAAGTTAAAAAAAAAAGGAAAGAAAGAAGTACATTAAGCAATTGTAGAAGCAGACCAACTCAACTGGGGCACCACGACCAAAGCAAGCCCTGTAATAGTATAATGACCTTTAATGAGTGTCTGGGGAAACAATACAGTCATAGCATAAAAGACAAAGGGCAAAACCCATCATGGCTCCACTGACACTAATTTAAAATGATTTTCAGAACAACTAAAGAATGTAAGAGAGGTAATCTGATCCACCAATCTGACCTCACTTTGATTCTGGGGCCCTGCTGCTGCCATTTCTAATTGTCAAACACTCTACATTTCACATCTGCTCATATTTAATGAAAAGCTGACTCTCCCCACCATTCTCTGAGCTAACTAGCTCTGTCAAGATGGGCATCGTCCGACCCCTGTGCACTGCAAAGAAAACACACTGATTTCTATTGAAGCCCTGCCAGTGCAACGTTGCGTGCATATATATATTTTAATTGGAAAAGAAAGGCTTATGCTGCTTTGCAAAGAGTGTGAATTGGTATTGATTTTTGTACTTATTATTAACAGTCAAAGGTGACTAGCCTCACAAGGGGAAGACTGAGATCTCTTTTGATTTGAAGGAGTGATGAAGGGGGGAAAAGGCCCATGAAGGATAGGATGCTAAAAATCCTCAAAGCTGTCAATATCACTTATCCTTCAAAATATAACATAGCTCTAACATGTTTCCCAAAAAGCTCTGGCTTTTGTTGGAAATAATACCATTATTGTGGAGGGTTTTGGCTCAGCAGGCAACACAATCAAAAATGTTTACTTTATCTGCCTCTGTAGAGTCTTAAGTGGACTTGAAAGCTATGGTAAACCTACAAATTAGTTTTTCTTTCCTTGCCAAACAGTGCTAATGGCAGAAATTTTATCCACTTGCAGGGGACATATTAATTTATCCTAATCTGATTGCTGTTAACACCAATGCCAGGGCCCAGCCACAAACTCTCTGTACCAGCCTGTACTCTACAAACTCTACCAGGCACGGTGTTACTGAGGCTGTTACACTGTACAAAAAACTGCCTGCAGCAATTCTCAACACAGGAAGGTTTCTTATTTGCTTTTCTTAACAAAGTATGCTTTACTACATTTTACCCTGATAAAATTCTTGTTAAAGGATAAAACTGTTTTTATCCTAGTTTTAAGTCCTGTGATTTACAACAGGACTTAAAACTAGGAACCATCCACTTTATGGTGATACATGAGTTGCAAGCAAGGAGATTGTTAGGATGTTCAGAGTGCTTATACACAGAGAGAGATGATTTTGGTAAAATCTCCAAGAAATCCTATGAGAATATTTTTATTTAATGTGGTCTTCAGACAAAAGAAATGTAACAATTAGAGAATTTTTATATTTGTGACTGGAAAAATAGTTCATAAGTCAAAATAGTTAAAGCAAAATCATTCAGCACTTGGGCTACGTACTGCAATATGGTACCAAAAGACAACCAGGTGCATAATCCAAAATCTACATTAGTCTTCATAGCAGAAGGCACTTTTGTCCAAAATGACTTGCCTTGGAAAATGGACATGCTTCCTGATCAAAACTCCAATCTATTCTCATAGCTGTAGCTGAATAAGTTTATAGCTTTCCTTTGCCATTTGGGTAGGGAAAGGAAAACAGCTCCTGTCCCAAGACATAGTTTTGCCTGTTAAGAATGACTAAAGAGGACAAGAAAATGAAACAAACAAACACACAAAAAACCATTTAACAATCTTCCTCAGTTGATGACATCACACTGATAATCCAAGCTTTGGAATCCCTACAGCTTGTCCGAAGAATTAATGGCCATGCAGAATTGTTCTAGGTTCTCTGTCTTTTCACTCTCAACCCTGATCTTTCAAAAGAGCTTCTAGGGCACATTCCAGAATGTTACTGTCCTATGGAACAGACACTACATTAAATTTCAAAACATTTGTACCAGGGATTTGCACCCTAGTTTTTCTAAAAAGGTGCTACAAAAAGTACAACCGATTTTACAAAAAGTACAAACACTTCCGTGGTTTCTGTATTAGACGGAAGATCTTGCTTTACTGAGAATGAAGAGTTACAAACAAAACTAAAGGCAAAAGTAGCAGCATAGAATAGAATTTCAGCTACTATGTTGTATCCTGTATATTTATTCACTGCCCATTGTATGATGCTCTAGTGCCAGTATTATTAAAGGTACCCACTCGGCACCAGTCACAGATTTAGACAAAGGTCTGGTCCTCCACCAAAGCACTTATTGCTTAATTAATGACAATTTGTATTGTATGAATTAAATAGAAAAGATGTCACCATACTGCACTACTAAGATCCTGAAGGCTATTGCAAGAGGATGCTTCATAAAGAGCACACAAAGCAAAATAATGATTTACATTTTTTTGCATTAAAAATAAAAACAGAAATATAAATACAGAGCTGTGATCAAATCTGGGGTTGATTTTTTGAAAAAGCATCAGCCCACTAAAAACTCACAGAACTACAATGCACGACACAAGACAGGGATGATACCACAGACACCACAAACATGGAACAGCATGTGTTGGTGTTAAAACTTACAGGCACGTAAACTGGTGGAGCAATCATTAACAGAGACAGAAGAAAGTGGGAAGGCTCTCTCAAGGGTGTCCATGTTACTATGTACACTGCCTGACATGCAAGAGCAGTCACGCTCAGAGCGTCCGCAATCAAAACAACATGCCAGTCTCATTCTCTTGTAGATGGACATCTTGGCTATAACCATGTGTTGGATGGGAGGAGAGGAAGAGCAGCAGGTTAATGGCAAGGTTATATATATAACAAGGCAGCTGGAAGGTAATTTAAGGGATTTAATACAGGCCTTAGTTAATGTTAACAGTCTTGACCCAGGAAAAAAAAATGCAATGAGATTATTGATAACACTTTGGTTGTACATTAAAAGTAGGGCAAAAGATTAATTGCTCTTTATTTCTGTTCAGTCTTAGAGGGTGACCGCAGTCATGGGGAAAAATTACTGTTTACAGTCAAGTGTTTGGATCAAAATAGAACACAGTAAAAGCACAGAATAATAAGAATATGCTTTTCCCTTGGCACAATTAATACCATTGGATTAAAATGAAAACAAAAGTTGCTAGTCTATTAGGTACTTTGGCCTATCCTGTTTCCTGAAAAAATCAGAGATTTCTTCATGTATAAATATATGTATGTATGTATACACACACAGAAACACACATACAAATATATTCTTACATACACACACTCATACACACGTATGCATTATACATACACACATATATATATATAAATATATTTATTCTTAAATGCATTGTAATATTTTTTCTGTATTAAACTGTGCCAAGGAACACCTTTACTGCAATCAATTATACATTAATAAAGAATTACAAGATATTAATAAAATTTTCCAAAAAATTAATTTTGCTTACATTTTATCTTCAGGAATTCAAATTAACTCTTGACAGAATACCAAAATTTGCCCATATAGGAGACAAAACTAAAAATGGTAAATATGCTCGACATTAAGTTCAGTTCACAAATAAGGCATCACCAAAAGCACACAGAGCATTGGTCCACTGAAACATGCTGAGCCAATCATTGGCATGGTTTCTGCTCTGGATTCAAAAGTCACTCAAGAGGCGTTAGGTCCAAAACAAGTGCCAGGTCAGACAGAACATCTTTATCTTTCAGTCATCTGAATGTCCTTGTTATGTATTCCTAGAAATATAGAGCATCCTATTTTATAAATGCATGTATAATTACCATCCTGGAATTTTGTATGTTATCAGAATCAGGTATGTTTACGTCTCAAGGAATCCAAAGGCCATTTAGATTGTTTCACATGCTGCACTGAACCAACTTTTGGTAATGGTTTAGATTGAACTGACTCAATTATACTAAAAACAAAACAACACTGACAGGCAAAAACAAAACCTTAAAAGCAAAGGCAGAAAAAAGGTAATGTTTCTCTGGCCTGTACCTTCAGTTTAGGATGTCTTTTTTTGCATTATGGTAATGACATGAAATTTAAAAGAATTTTTTTTTCCAGTTTCTTAATCCCACAGTCACCAGGAAAGAGGGATTGAAATCACTCAGATGGGTCAAGTCCTGTTCTAAGGCCTTGATGGCTTGCCATACAGTATACTTGTCAAGCAAGGGTAACATTATGATTGTGGAAAACAGGCATTGAGGGAGATGAATGAGTGATCTCTTCAGCAGCGACCCCATTCCTCTAAAACTTTGCTCACATGACTAATGCCATGTTCTTTTAGCATCCTAGTAGAGTTATCTTACAGCTGTTCAGAAATTCATCATGCAGCATCAGGCTTGTTCATTGCATAGTACATCATTCCTCAGAGCTTGGCTTTTAGTAAGAAGGTTTCCACGGCAGCTTTAATGCATACACATTCAAACTACACAGAAAATTCAAAACAGCATTTTCCCGTGTTTTCCCTCTAACTCTTCCCAACACATTCTTTAAAGTTGAAAAGTTGGACAGTAAAAGAAAAGTGAAATAGGTTACCAAAGTGTAACAGTCTTTCCAGTATGCCTACTTTCTTATTTTTTAAGGAAATTAAAGAAAAATAAAGGGTATTTGTGAGACACATTGACAGTAGGTGAGGTTAAAAAAGCAGGCCCATTTTGCTGTAATTATAGCTGTTTTGAAGGACTTTTTCTAATCAAATGCTGTAGCAAAACACACTGCTCAGAAATTCCCAACTGCTACATCATTGGTTAGTAACAGTCCCTGGTTCTCATTTACTTCTGGCCATATCTTGTCAACAGTCAATAATAGGATAGGACAAATTTATGGAAATTAAAAAGAAATCATCCTTAAGGGCAAAGAAGGCTAGGAAGGAAAACTTTTTGTACCATTTTCATCAGACTTAAACCAATAAAGTTGGAAATTTAAGGCCTTCTCTTCAATAGGGGAAGGACATGATGGTGTTTCTCAAAAGCAATACCCTTCAGGGACTGTTTTTAACTATTATTGTCAGTTGTTCTGGAGATCATGCATCACTTGAATATTTCACATCATTAACATGCAGGAAACAGGCCTGGACCTGGAAATATAAGCAGCAGAAAGGACTTGCCACAAGGATTTTAACAAGTATATAAGCAACTGCATATCAGAGCAATAACTTTTGGAAAGAAAACATGCTGTTACTCTTCATTCCTTTTATACAGTCAGTTACATTCACACCAAATACAATACTTATTTCAAATAAAACAAAACACGCATTATTAGTAGGGATGACTAGTGACAAGATCAAAGACAGCACAGAAATGATTTTAAATGGTTCAGCCACACACATACCATTTTCTATAAAACTTCCATAAACATTAACAGAAAATGGGAATCATCAGAGAGACAGGGGGACCTTAAGAACAGCCTTTGTGTGTGTGTGTTAAATTTATCTGACACCTGTAGGACCTGCATAAGAATCAACTTATTTCTATTCCTAGATGTGTTATAAATGTTGAATAGGATTGTAATTTGATACTGGTGAAAACAAAAGTTGGGACATAAAGGAAACTACTTTCCTATTTTCAATTGTGTAATAAATAGGGAAAAAAAAGAGAAGACAGATCCTTGTACTTTATATGATGACAATCACACAACATTTGTAAAACTAATCAGTAAAAATATCAGGGGAAGTTTTTATGGACATTAAGTTAAGGCTGCTTAAATAATTTACAAAACAAGGCACATATGAACTACTCATTAAGAGCAAAAGGAGAGCAAAGTTTCTTTCAATTGCTTAGAAACTAAATAAATACTTCTAGAAACTTCCAGATGCAGTTTTTGTCAGAAGGTAGTAGCCTTCCTTTCTATAAAAGAAAGAATAGCTCCCCAGATGTCTAAGCTTCTCACAAGACCTTACTTCTGATCTCAAACAGTCAAAAAGTACAGTTAAAATGTGTAGATTGTCTGGATCTGAAGCGTTACTTAGAGTTCACGAACGGTAATGGGAAATATTTCCAGCTGCAAAAATAAGCAAAGGAAACTGCAGATTATTCTCTACCTAAAATGTCAAGGAACAGCTCCTTTATCTTTTTCCTTTTTTATTTTTTTTTCTTTCTTTAAAGAAAGCAGAACAAAGTATTCCTTCTTCTTTCCTGATTTTTGGTGAACCCCGGGCTGTGCCCCCTGTCCTGGTGCCGCTCCCGGCGCTTTTCCCGGCGCTCAGCGCAGCCAGGGTGGAGCTCCGAGGACATCTAGTGGATCTCTCTCAGGCAGCAGCTGCTCAGGAGCAGGATCGGGAGCCTTCCTGACCACCCAATGGTACAAAAAGGTACAAAAAGGTCCCAAGACACTTCAGAATTGAAATGCACGCTGTTATTTCAATTCGTCAAGTTCTCATGATCCAAACTGAGAGTGAAAAATCATCAGCATTAAAGGCGACCAGGCTGGAGCGATCGCCTGCCAGCTTAGCATCATGAGACTGACACACAGACAGGACTTCCCCCAGCACAGTTTCAGTTTCCTGAAAAATACAGCAGTACCTTAAACTGTTGGTGAGAATTTATTCACCTTAACACAACAGGAAAATCTATCTCTCCATTATTTAATTTTTACAAGTCAACTTCAAGACTAGCAAGTGAGCTTGCTCACTCTCTTGCAATTTTTGCCATCAATGACAACTGGTTACTTGTTTGTTCCAATTCACAAAGTGCTGTTCTATGCCAAAACTGAAAAAACAGCAGGAGATCTGAGTGGACAACTAGCCCTATTTTAGTAGATATAAGAATGACTCAGGTTTTGATGTAATAGCACATTTATAGACCAATTCATTTTAAATTTCAAATCTGATCACGACCTTTCCTTCATTACCTTACAGAAGACTCTCCAGCCAGTGCACTCTCAAAGCAAACTACTTTTCTAAACAAACTTAAGCTATTGGGGAAATGGAAAAAAACCAAAGCAAAACTACATGACCTTTTCTTTTCTAGTTCTTTCACCGCATGAAGAACTCTTTACTTATTACCATTTAATGAATTTCTTTAGTTCACAAAGGTCTCAACATAAGAACATATTTTAAATAAATACATTGCTTCAGATAAATCCAGATTACTTCTAGTACTTTGCCTCAAAGTCAATAGGATTCACCATTTCATCTATAGAATTTGTTTTACTGCTGATTCTTATCATGCTGACCAGTTTCACAATCTGCTTTTGCCTGCTGCTTCATCTTTCTGCTGTGTCATTCTATTGGCTAAAAATAGATGTTTGAAGAAATTTCTGTTCTATCCTTGAATATTTTCTTCCACAACAGGATCTCAATCATTCAATTTAGTTTGCAGGCTCCACAATAAAATAAATAGCAAATAATGATAATGCAGGCCACCATAATTTCAAGAAGGCCAGAACTTTATCAAGAGCATAAATTATTCCTTCATTCTTTGCAAGATCCTACAGTGTGTATAGCTGAGAGGGGGAAAATATCTCAATCCTGATTAAGACCTGAGATGTTTCCACACAATAAATTCAGAATATGTGGTAAAATGTTGAAGTTGCATGTTGAGGCCTCCTTTACTTAGGATAGCTGCAGCTACACAGTAAAGTTACAGCCTCAACCTGGCACAGGAATGCTGCACTGCAGCTACTCAATCCCCCTTGCTCTTTGAAAGAACAAGCCCATATAATCCCAACACTGCCCTACAACCAGTGCATTTCTTTGCAGCACTTTTATTTCTAAGAGCAAATTCTTTCCATGTCCCAAATGCTGTATTTACCATGAGTGTACACACAAAGTGGCTGATGAGAGCCTTCATAGATCCTGCACACTTTCAAGTGGTATGACCTAGATTGACATGAAGTGGTCCATAAAGCTCATATTCTAGATATAATAATATTGTAAAACTTTACAGCTAAGGCCCTGGAAAGTCAGTGTGTGTCTACTTATGTAAGTAGTGTCAAAACCAGCAAGCTCAGGAAAATAATCACTGCAGCTTGTTTCCTGTCGAAGGTATCTCTGGGTTTATACGTTAAAAACCACACTTTTAATTCACTGTCTGGCTTTCTCCCATAACACTTTTTTCTGTCATCCGGGAGAAAAAAGTTAGATAAGGACAGTAAAAGACTGCTGTGCTACTCTTTGTGCCAGCTGTGCAATGAAAAGGACTATTCTCACTGACCATTACTGAAAACCTCAACAGGGACCTGACAAATGAATTGTATTGAACCAGGCAAAGAGTGCTATAGTGGCTATTACCCCAGCCTAACCAATATCCCTAAAAATTCATGAGATATCCCTAGAATAATTTCAAGGAAATACTACTGCCAAGATCTAATTTTCATTTAGGGATAAAAATAAGCTTGTAGAAAAAAAGGGGCAAATAGGTGGAAGAAGGGAAAACTGCTGTATTTTCTTCAACGTCACCCTAATCTCCATTGGTGGGAACAATGAGAAACTTGTGGGTATGACGTCACTGCTACATGCAACATAAATAAAGAAAAGAACCAAAATACTGAACAAAAATACTCTCTGCTAGAGAAAGACAGGTTGGACCGCACTCTGGGCTACAGGGAACCCATTTTTACTCACAATAGATCACTATCAGTGTGCAGTTAAAATATAGTAGGGGCCGTGTTCCAAGGCAGCAAGAGGAAAAATAAATCAAAAGTTTGTCAATTGTCATAGATTACAAGAAATTCCTTCAAACACATCAATGTATACATGATTTGTCCCCTCTGGGGTTCAACCCCCACCGTTCACAGCAAGCACTGTCACTGGAAAAAATATATAGAGAATTAGACCACAGTTGTTGCACAAAATGAAAGAAACAGGAGGAACAGGTCATCCAGTTTAGAGATTTCATCCCAACGTGGCAGCGTTTTATACAAATATATACATATATTTGGCCTCTTGCTGCAAAAACTACAGTTAAGTGGAATAGGAAAGAGACTGAAAACATTAAAAAAAAATTAACATTCTGTGAATAAAATTTCCACACAAGTATTTCTTTGGACAATATGCCATCAGCATTTATATGTTATTCAGGGAGTGGGATGGGTAAGGAGAAAAGGATGGCAAAGAAACTGCAAAAGGAAAGCAGGATTACATGAATTATCCTTGGTCTTGTAGAAATGTACTGATCTGCCCTGAATTATTAATATTAGGCCTAACGAGTTTGGACAAATGGCTATGTAGGTCAGACTCACGTTTAGACCCCAACAATACCCCAAGCTAATATTCAGAAAGTGTCTAAACTGAAGTGCAACCTCAGATGCATTATTAAAGAATGTGAGTTAAATATTATGGGAAACTGCTTGAATTAGAGCCACCATAATTGAGTTTTCCATTTCTTTCACATCTAATTCACCTGAATGTGTCAATATTTTTATAAACAACCTTTCCTTTCATCTTACATATTTTCCACATTTAGCTGCCTCTAATTACTATGCTACTCACTCATTAAAGCTTGTATTTGTCATATAGAACTATAAAGATGCATGTGCATGCAGTGTCAAAAATCAAATTGGCATAGCGATGTATCACATGTTGACATCGCAGTTGATAGTTTGCTAACTCAGTGGGGAGAAAGTTTTCTCAATTTATGTTTTGCTTTGGTTAGAATTGTATTTTTAACACCAATGATTTGCATCATTTGCAGATGGATAACAAATCTAAGTTTTTTCAAAAGTGATTAGTGATTTGAAAGCTAAAACATTTTATGTAAATAACCTTCTGGACTAAAGACTTACCTTAAAAACAAACCCAAAAACAAAAAGCAGGTCCCGTAAAAGGGATTTCAAAATTGCCAACAAAATTTGAGAAACAAAAATCACTAATTACTATTGAAATTTTTCATTTCATTTTTTCTTCTGACAGCTCTTTAAAAGAAAAGCAATTGCCTTATTCCTAGTACTTGTGAGCATGCTTCTCATTGAAATCTCAGCTCTTCTACAGGCTGCCTGCTACTGTGGTATCTGTGACCCCTTGTGTGTCTAAGAAACAGCAGGAGAGAGGGCAGACTCACAAGAGGGGAGATGATGAAAGGGAAATTTTAGATGTTACTCTCAACTGACCATTATTCTTCACCTGACTCAGAGGATTCCCTCCTTAGTGTTCAGTGCTCACTGCACCAGCTCTGAGAGCCACCTCCTTCTTCAGCCTCACTAATTCAGTTTGTTTGTTCATCTGCCCAACAAACTTTCATTTACTGGACTGATATGTGTGACCATGCCATTTGTAACCCTTCCAAATCCTACCTACAGAAATTGTTACTCTTGCCTCTCCAAGGCCTTACTGCTGGTAATATCCATTGTGTTGGCTGGGTCATAGCCTGTTTCCTCCCAGGTTTCAAAGTACTGAGAAGGTTACCTTGATTCTCATTAACATATAATAATAAAGGGCTCTTAAGCTTTATAATGTGAGTTCCTGATGCCCTATCTTCTAGCAGATGACAATGAAAAGTGTAGGTCTCATGTTAAACTGAGAGATCTTTGGGATTTATTAAATTTTTAAGCAGGACGTGTTTAAAAAGCATACACCATGTGAAGGAGGAGTATAGAAGAAAATAGAAATAAAATGGGTTTTTTGGCTTTGTTTTTTTTTTCCTGACAGAACCAGATAAAATTAAGCAGGTAACATATTTCTCTTTAACTGTTGAGTAATTTTGAAAAAAGATTTCATGAGAGTCACAGACACCCTGAGGCATCTGTAACTGGCTTTACCAGAACTTACTCAGCAGACTCATTGGCTTTGGCAGCAGTTCAAAGGTCACATTCTCACATGGATAAACTGTTCTTGAACAATTTTTTTCCAATATGTTAGGCAATGCATACATTCCTTCCACATCAGGCATGCTTTCCATGTGCTTTGCTCTCCTTGTGGCTACTGGGAAGATAAATACCATTTTCTGTCAGTTCCAGCTGCTTTCTCCCGATCATGCTATTGTTCCACACTTGTGGTGTTTTGGAGGAGAGGAGTTTTTTTAAAGATCTCCAATGATAATTTTTTTTCTTTTGAAAATGATCTTCAAGACTTCATCCATTTCAGGTACTCCAAAAGGCAGAGAATGTTCAGCTTAGGCTTTCTTCCATCCTCTACAACAGTGCACTGATAACTGAAGCTATACATAAGAGAGCTTTTTTTATAGCAGACTGAAGCTATAAATAAGAGCGCTTTTACCCTTTTAAAAGTAATGGTAAAATAGGCATGATCAAACCCTTCTGAGATCTCTCAATTTACCTAATCAATACTTTTAAACTGAATTATTTTTTTCATGGCAGGATACCATGGAATGCACATAAATATTTATATATTCAATGAGAAATTGATTCCTAAATAATTTTGCTATTGGTATTACAAATATGCATGGGTCAAACACATCTTTGGTCAAAGTGTGGTTGTGATAGCTCCTGAAAAAGGTCCTTTCAAAGTATATATGGGTAAAATGCTAATTGCTACATATTTATAGAAATTCAGATGCAAAGTCTCATCTCCATTCAAACACTCAATTATTTCTTCATTAAAAACTGTCCAAACAGTTTAAGAACCTAATTAAACTAATATTAGCATTACAGCTAAAAGGATATATGTAAGAGATGCTAATATTTAATTTCTTCCAGACAACCTTTTCCTCCACTAAAACTGTTCATTTATTTAAAAAGAAAAAAATTTCAATAGCTATATGATAAAATATAATTCCCTAGTTTCTTCTCTTGCAGAATCTGCATGCTATGAATGAGAGAAAAACTTCACTGTTGGCTAATTCTTAACTCAGAAATCTCCACAGTTAAATTTAGCTTGACTTAATTCTTCAGTTTTTGTTAGCATTGGTCTTTAATTTACTTTTTAACGAAGACACAGATGTGAGTGGTGTGAAATGTAACAAAAACATATGGACTTCAGGAACCCAAATAGCACTTGCTATGTTGCTGTGCAATTATTTCTTAGCCTTTCTGTAAAACCATTGTGTAAAACATGTAAATACATGTAGAGGTATTCTTCAGGGCTGAACAGTTCATGAAAAGGAGAGGAAGGGAGGGATAGAAATATTACTTACGCCGTTTGCAGCCACATTTTTTTATCCTTTTGGGATCTGTGATGTCATCATGACAGGCCTTGCAGTAAAAATATGCCCTGGAGAGACAGAATGGAAAAACTGACACATTTCTTAATCCATATAAATGAAATTAGTCCCATATTTCATCTTGTTGCAGTGACCAATTAAGGAAATGCACCAATGCTAATTTACTTTGATCTTTGCAAACGTTTGGACATTTAAAGTAGGAAATATTTGCTGCAATACCATTAATTTCAACTATAAGCTCCAAATTAGTATTTCCTTTAATACACTTTTATTTGAAAAGTAATTGGAAGAATGTATGATAATTATGCCACACTGTATTAGTTTATTTGTTGTTCATCTTAGAAGAAAGAGCATCTAATGAACTTAATCACAAAAAAAGACTTTTTGTTTTCATCGGCTACCAGGGTGGTTTTTTTTAAGGACTGTCTAGCACCCTGTGCCAATTTTTCAGCTTGGACATCAGATCATTACTGTATGATCAACATGGTACATTGATCTTAAATAGGGGTAGAAACAAGGACCCTATTGGCTTGTCAGCCTCACCTCTGTGCCTGGAAAGATCGTGTAACAAATCCTCTCAGAAGCTTTGCTGAGGGACATGGAGGAGCGGGAGGTCGTTCAAGACAGGGAGCACAGCTTCACCAAGGGAAAATCCTGCCTGACCAACCAGCTATGATGGAATGACTACATCAGCAGATAAGGAAGTACTGCAGATGTCATTTATCCAGATTCTGTAAAGCCTTTGACATGGTCCCCCACAACATCCTTCTCGTCAAACTGGAGCGATGGATTCCATGGGTGGATTAGGAAGTGGTTGAATGGCCACATCCAGTGGGTAGTGATCAATAGCTCAGAGTCTCACCAGGCACTAGTTACAAGTGGTGTCCCTCAAGGATCTGTACTGGGACCAGTGTTATTTAATACCTTCATTAATGACACAGACAGAGGCATCAAGTGCACCCTCAGCAAATTTTCAGATGACACCCATATATTTTGCTGACAGTATGAGAACATTAGATTGCTATAACAATTAGGAGGCCACTGAAACAAAACTATCTACAGTCCAAAATATAAAAAACCACAAAACCAAACCAATATTTATATATAGCCTCTGATTAAACACAGCTTTGGCCCTGCAGCCAGGATGATTACTACTATTTCTTCTAGATTAACTATAGCATGGCCACTGCAGGTGGAACTATACTGGTAGTTAAGTGACCCATCATGAGAAAGATAGCAGGTCTAGCATAGAAGAGATGAACCACATCAATGCTTCATATTGGTTCAAATACAAATTGAAATTGGAGGGAGATCTCACTGAATGCTATTAACATTTCTAAAATCAATATAACATGAAGCTACCAATGGAATATGTAAGTCCTAAACCTAGCACACTTTATTTCTCTAAGAAACTTACAGGAAGATTACTCTTTCAGGCTCTGAAATTGCCTTAGTATTTCCAAGATGCAAAATGTAAAAGGAAAACATCTTCTCTGAGCATGTATACTTTGCTGCAGAAAGTTTCTGGTCTTCAAGATATTCACGTTCCACCAAAAAGAAAATCAACTACTTCCAAGGAAATGAGAAGAAATTGTTTTTCAAACCATGAGTAGACGTCAAGATGTAAGCCAGGAGGAGAAAACTGCCTCAAATTTTTAAAATTTCTCTCCAGTCCAGCTGTAAAGCCCCTTTATTAAACAAGAATCAACTACCACAAATAGTCCACCACAAAAACTTCATAACATGAACTGGATATTGGTCATTGATAGAGACCATGTTTCTGAAGTTCACTGCAGCACAAATGTCCTAAAGAGTACCTTCAATCCCATGTCCAAAGTAAAGAATAAATACCTGGAGTTATTGCTGTAATAAAATTATTCTAGATAACTGGGGTAAATTAAGTGGATTTGAAGAATGTGGATTTCTGGCACTCGTGTTAACATGTAAATGAACAAGGAATAATGAAGATGCAATTCAGGTAGTTTGTATTATATTTAAACAGTCAACATTTTATGTGAAGCTATTTACCTTGGCATAACTGTTTGTAGGTGTAATTGTTTCTTATGGGAAACTATTCTTCTCAAAAGGCAAAAATGATTCTAACAGAAAGAGTAATTGAACATTGTAGGTTATATCTCATTGTGGGATATATAAATATGAATAACTTTAGCTTAAAGCGGTTGAAATGTCTTCATTAACAAAGCCAGAAAAATTTAATTTGCATTTCAGGTATAAAGCATGTTTAATTATGCTTTATTAAAAAATAATTTTTCTCCTCCAAAAGATCTCAATTTTAGAACATATTTCTGAATCTGATTCATAGCTCAAAGGGTGAAATTAACACTTTTCATAATTGGCTTTGTTAGTAGAAACACATCTGATAAGCATTTGCTTTGCACAGAGCAGCTAAGAAACGTGTCAAGGGAGGCAGAATATTTCTAAACATAGCCTTCTGCCAAAGCCAGACAGAATTGGAAATCCTGTTTCATGTTCACTATCAAATGAAACGTGGCAGATGAATGATGTGAAAAATTTGTCTAAATGCCTTTATAACAGTTAACTTCTCCCTAATCTTAGCAGTTAAAATATTATGCCATTTTACTTAGTCTGAGAAAAAGTTCATTGCAGAGTGTAAAAATGCTTTATAAATGAAAAAAAACTAGCAGCTCAGTAAAGCAGTGTGCAGACAGTTCTGGATGCTCAAGTGGAGAAAAGCAGCAGAGGAAAAGAACAGAAGGCTGCAAGGCAGAGTCCCTGAGGCAGTGCAGGATGTACAGGCTCCAGAGATGGTGCTGGAGATGTGACAGGACAGGAGCACTGCTGCCTTGTTCTGTACATTTCACCTAGCCAAAATCTATCTCAGCTCTTTCAAGAAAAATAGAAGTCAAGTTCTCCAATTTCACTGTTTTGGTGTCTTGACTTTCTTTAAGTATGCATGGCAGATAGGCATGGTTAGGTATTATTTCACTGTATTTAATCCTAAAAGGTTGGAACTTAATAAAGAGTATAATTTGAATACTTTATCATTTTAAGTACAGGATTTAGTTAAAATACCAAACTCATGGATAACATCAGTAAAAATCTGATTGCATGATTCATAACAAAGATACAAATTATGAGGAAGCACTCAGCTGCAAATATTCATTTTTTTCTTTTTTTTTTTAATTATAGGGACACTGAATATTTTTCTTTGAAAAATTCTTTTATCACATTGCTCTTTTGTTCCTTCCAAGCATACTATAATCCTAACAAACAAGACTACATACATTTGGTCCTCAATACAAAATCACAAAACTCCTTTGCATTCATCCCAAATCTAGCACACCCAGGTACATTGAGTCTGTGAAGTTGTCTGCAATGGATATAATGCACTTTTGTAGTTTGATTTATTATTATGAGGCTGTGGAGTTTGTAGTTCCATTAAAGAAAAATGACAAGAACATAAATATTATTTTGCTAATGCAATTACAGAATAAACACAGCAGCTAACTCGCATCAAGAATTTGCTAAAGTCTGTGTAGATTAGAACTCCTCTAAACCAGAATCTAACAGAACTGTCATCCTTGTCCTCCTCTCTCATAGTAATTCCTCTGAGACACAATAAGTATAGAGGAAACAAATGAAAATATTTCACATTTTCTAGGAGGACTCAAAAACTCTTGAGTCTCTTTATTTCTTTTCGTATCTGCGGCAAATTTCAGTTCCTTGGGACTTAGGGAAACTACATGCACATAGGTGGTTCAGGAGTAACAACTCAACCCCCCCTCCAAATTTTTAAACAGATGATAATGAAAATTAGGTGAAGCATTTACATGTAAAGAAAAAAACTGAAATTAAGTATGTTTGTTTCTATTCAAAGATAAAAACATTTCAATTACCTTTTTACTTCTTTGGCATCACTTGCAATGAAGAATCCTAAGGTACCTTCTTGAATCTTGACATGGTTTCCAGGATTGATTAATATACTGCTCAGTGAAACAAGAACAAAACCAACAAAACAATAAGTTTATATTAATTTCAGCTGAATCTTCCAAATTAGCTTTATTTGATTCTGTTATAGGGGACCCACTAGTTAGGAAAGGCTGCAAGGAAATTTTAAGCCATTCTTCCTTGATATTTCCAATCAAATAAGAGTTTCACATGCGTTTTACAAAAACTTTAGTTTGAGACAGTCAAATGCCTCTGCCTATAATCACATAATCTAAGTGCTTACATCTGTTTTCTTATCTTTTTGCTTTAATTATAGACTATGCAAAGTCCTCTCAGAAATGTGAAGTGTGAAGCTGAGCATTGCTGTTTGCTTGCTCTGTCATGCAAAGTGGTGACAAATTCATAATATGGTGAAAAGGAAAAAACCCTCAGCCACTGCTGACACAAAAAATATCACTTATGAAACTAAACCCTTGGATGCAAATTTTTGCCAATTTCTAGTGAAATAGAAAGTTAATGGGACCCCTATCTGGACATATAATGTTATTGTTTAAAATAATAAATACACACATACACTCAAGGGGAATGGTACAAGACAACCAGTCACGACAGCTGAAAAAACATAAAATGAATAGAAAATTTTTAAAACACTGCTATGCAGCCATGAAAGAACAAAAATAACCCAACCACCATGACAGAAGAGCCTCAGCTAACTTTGACAAAGAACTAGTATCAACAAGTGAGGTACTCCATGTCTATGAAATATCTTTATTTGGATAATAATTTAAATCAAGACTTTAGGAAAGGTGTTTTGCAAAGCACCAAGCTAAATATGAATATACAGATAGATATAAATGTAAATATATTCTCCAGTAAGTTTTATTCATGGGTGATGTATCTTAGCTTTTGACTCTAAAACTTAATATAGCTTTTCAAAAGTTTTCTCTCTTTTGTCTTTTATTAAAGTTCAGCTTTTCTAACTCAAAATGTAGTAACGGTATGCACATGTAATTTAGATTAAATAAAGACTACCAGGAATTGAAACACTTGTCCATCTAGCAAAAATTGATTTTAGGGAAGTACATATACACATAAATAAATAAAGCACAATGCTGAACAGACATACATTACTAAAATTTGAAGGTCCAAAGTCTTTCACGCAATTGATAGGAGGGAAAATGGATCTCAGTACATCTCTTATTCAATATGTTAAATATTCTCTACACATTAGGAATAAATTATTATGACAACATAATATATCTGAAAGATTAATAATGTGCACATTTTTTTTGTGTAATTCCACATGCCTGCAACATCTTATGACAAGAATATGCAGGCCACAAAATAAAATGCTCATGAGTTCAGAAGTAAAAGGTTGGTCACGAAGTCATATTTCAGCCCCCTTTATGTAGACCTTAAGATACAGTTCTTAATTTAATACCCAGAAACTCCTTCCTTCTCACAATCTGAAACTTCACTCAGTGGTGTTTTACTGCCATTACTTCAGCCATGGCTTCCTGTAATAATTCCTCTCTTGAAAATCAGCATCAGATTTTTCTTGTGCGTTTTTCTGCAATGTTCATCACTACAGCATGCAAAAGATTCATAAACAATTTCTTTGACAGGAAGAATGAAGATATTGTATTACCCCATTTTACAGAGGAGAGATTAAGCAACTATGAGATATAGTACTTATTAATTTGGGATGCTTATAGGCCAAATCTTTTTAAGTGTTTAGCATTGCATAGCTCATACAGACTTTCTAGGAACTTTTGCTGTGAGAATGCTCAGCATTTCCAAAAGCCAAGCCTCTGATTCCCAAAATAATGAATATACTTAATCAGAGATCAGCAGTAGAAAGTTTGGTTTAAATTATTATCTCCTGCTCACACAGATAGCCTGTGTCAGAAGCTGGAGCAGAAATTAAATCTCAAAAAAAGCATCTACCCAGATATCCTTTCCTTTCCTTCATTCACAGTTTCAAGCTTTGCAACAAATAAAAAGGAGAGGAGAACTACAGGAACTGGAAGGTATCACCACAGAAAGCAGGTTTAATTTCCACAGCACACTTTACTAATATTTGCAAAAAATGAAATGTGATGATATAAGGAACACCTGTATTACACACACAGATAAATGGGATGAAATAAAGTTACACAGCTAAACTAGTATCATCCATCATCAACTAGTATCATCTACTGTCATATCTAGCATTTCCTTGTTAGTGAATTGGGCCTAGTGGCTGCAGTTGCAATGAAAACTTCTACCTAATGCAGTTTTAAAATGCATTTTCACAGGTTCGAGATGGAATAAAACAGATAAAAGAAAAAAATAAAAAGAAACAACTACATAAGAATTTCTTCATATGAAACCACTTACTCAGGTCAAAAATAGGCTGGCAGATTTAGCTTTCCTGCATAAGCTTTTGTCACCTGAACACATAAAGTACTTGCTAGCACTTGCAGAGTGCTGTACTGGCCATCTTAGTCTCCACTTTTCCTCCTCCCTGCCTGCTAGTATGCAGTAACCTGCCATTAAACTGAGAATTTAGCTGCTAAACTAAAAAATCTTCTATAGAGGCTAATTTCATGTATTGATTATACTGTTCCTTATAAAATATGTAAGGTCTTGTAATATAATTTGGGTTGGCTGTTTTTCTTAGGTACAAATGGGTACTGCTCTATCTGAAAAATACTTTTTATTTCCTTACTTGATTCTTAAGTCACATAGGTGTTACAGCTTTTCAGTGAAAAAAGATTAACACTTTTTTTTTCATGGACCCAGGCTGGTTTTTTCCCCCCAGTACAATTCTTGGATATGGATAAACCATACCAAAGAGGAAAAAAATTCTACCTGAACCTCAACAACCCAAACTCCACAAACTGAGGTAACCACTAGATCTATAAATGTTCAATTCTCATAATGACACTTAAAGTTTGATGAAGTAATAAACAAATGAAGCAGTTCTTTTGAGATGCAGGGAACATAGTCTTAAATTGGAAGTAACTGGCTTCATTTAGGATGCAATGTATTGTGAGCATGATTTTGTATCTCAAGGTTTTCTGAGACACATAAAATCAATTCACATGGGTCAGTGTACAGACTTTATTTTTGTCAGATCTTATACTTCATTCACATATACCTCTTTCCACAAATACAATGTATTTATAACCACAAAATATGGATGTGATCACAGTTAATGCTTCTGTTGGAAATGAAAACTAATTTGCCCCATCATTGCTACTGGCTAAGAGTTACAGAAGAAGCTCATAAAGCTTTGGGCTTATATACAAACCAGAGCAAAATCATGAGCAATGTCTACTGAGCTGTATGGATACATTAAATGTACAGCTTATTAAAGCTGCAACTCAATTATTTCTTATGACACCTGTAGTGGCCTTAGCTGAAGTTATGCTTTGATAAGCACTCACTCTAATATATACAGCAAGGGAAATGTTTTGAATTAAAACAGAATATAGGGAACAAACAGCACAGGAAAAACAAAACAGTCTTCTGAGTATTCCAAGAAAAATGCATCCATCAGTTATTTAGAGATGCATGGGTTTTTTCAATATGAAAATATGCATATATATCCCCATAGTTGAGAATACAAGTACATGGTAAACTAAATAGGAGTTTTAGGAGAGACAGCTTCAGCTAATGTCTCATTTTTATATATATCCAAGGCTACAAAGGAAAAGGTGAAAAAGGAGAAACTCAAGAGGTTTAATAGCAACATATATAGCTAATCCATATGCATTTTGTGCCACACATCAGAAAAAAACATTACTGAAAATGACACTGATTTTTCGAAATACATGTTTTTAACATAAAGCACAATTTGATTTTTTTATCTCCTAAATCAGCTCATGAAACCAAGCAAGAAAGGCCAAGAACTTTAGAAACTTGTAGGATCTTGATCAAACTTTGTAATTTTATAACATTTCTAGTTTAGGTTATCTCACAAAGTAGTCAAGTAATAACAAGCTTAAAAACATGTAGTCATCATTTCTTTAATGACTGCAATTCCAGAAATACATCCCTCAGGAAAAAACCTTTCATGAAAGGGCTCACATGATTGCTTGCTCCTTCACACATGAATGTTAAGGACACATGACAATCAAAGCCATGTAAATTAAATACGACTTAATGTGTTCAATGGGAATTTAATGTACTTCACCACCATAAATTCAGGAGAAGTGAGTTCCATTACTTTTTGATAATATTACAATTAGAAAGCCACTTGTAGAATGGAATATGCCCTCTGGAAACCAGTGTTTTACACTTATCTGCAAAAGTCACCCCGTTTGTTAAAGATTCACTTGGTGACTAGATGCAGGGTCATGCACCTAAGAGCAATGAAAATGTTCCACAGTGAAAATGTAGATATCACCCTTGAATTCAGTTGGACTCTTAGGAATCACAGACTGAATCACAGAATGGTTTATGTTCAAAGAGATCTTTAAAAATCACCTAATTACAACTCTCATGTCATGGTCAGGGATAATTTTCACTAGAACAGATTGTTCAAAGCCCCATCCAATCTCTCACTTAAAGCAGAGGAAAGAATCATTAATATTATCTACACAGCTGAAAATGTCTTCCCAGACTGACAGAAATATTAGCAGGTGAAAAACAAATGGAAATCAGTGCACATTTGAGATACACAGTTTCAAAAAAAACCCCAAAAACTCGAACAAGGTCACAGAAATTCTAGACAAATGTTTATGGTTTTCTTTACATTCAATGAAAATTTCAGATTGGACATGATGACTTTTTCATATGACAGGGGAGAACAGATATCTGTTCATGTTTCTCACTGTGTGTTAATTGTGCCCAACTTACTTATTGAATTGTATCTTTCTGATATTTTAAGTATACATGCTACCTTCAATAAAATACAGATACATTAAAAAATATCAGTTCATCCATTCTTATCTATCTGAAACTACTCCAGAAGACGAGTGCTGCTCAATACCTTTCTTGGTAGTGCATGGATGACTGACTGCACAAGAGACCAATATTCTGACCTAGC